CTTTTCCTTCTTGATGGAATGTATATGAATAGTACCCATATGACATTTAAATTATAGGCTGTATTAGTTATGAAAGAGGGGGGAAACAGAAAAGAGAAAACTAACATATGAGGATTTGTATACATATGTTGGTGCCGATAAGTCAATATGAAAATCTCATTCAAAATCACTGCAAAAAAAACATCCAAGTTATATTAAAAATGCCTTAAGCAGGGAATGTAGATCACATTCACAATCACATTTCATCAAATAATTTGCGATTGCATCATCTAATGTGGTCGCTGAGTTTTTAATGGCACCCTGAGTATTTCTGCTTTCCTTTTTTTGATGGCTCTGCCTGCACTTTCTTCCCGCTTCACGTGTCTGTCTGCTGCCTGAAACCGGACTGAAAACGTGAGGGAGAATCCATTTTGCAAGCAGGGAAGAATTTAAAGGAACATGTCGAATTTTTTAAGCGGGAGATCGTCTTATCTCAACAGTCAAGTTGCGGTCAGGCACGAGACTGTTGAATAATTCACTTTAAATTCTGATATATTATTAAAGTGCATGTATGAAGTGGAGCAAACAGCACTTATTCGATCCTATACATGTTCCCATCATTGAAAGGCATCATTTGAGAAATATGTCTTACGCTATCTTAGAGTTGGCAAGTTTTCAAAAACACAGGAGCCTCTGAAAATGATTTTTTCGGTTCATTTGATGTTCCTGTGATACTTAACTGCAAAGAAACTAGTCTTTACATAAAGAAAATCCATATTATTCTTTAATATATAAGACAATGTCCAATTTAATTGTCTGTCCAATAGGATCAAAGCCAACTAAACTGGATGTATATGTCCAAAAACGATATGGAAGACAAATAAATGCAGATGCCATTGTAGTCAGTGCAATGTGGATTCAAAATATAAGTTGCATTTGTTTCCACTGCCCTTTTCTGTAAGATATTGGAAGTTGAAAGAGAGACCTAAGGTGAGCGGTGAAGGACGGTGAGAGGAAGAAAATGAAGACGGCTGATTTTTCTTCCTGTCTCGAAAAAAAAGGAAGCAAACAGGAAACAGTGCGGCGATAGAGGCTGACCTCGGAGTGTGTGTTTGTATTTGCGCGTGCGGTTGAACACGATGTACCAGACGCAGGCTGAAGGTTTGAGGACATGGAGGAAGCACAGAAATAGTTTCAGAAGCACTGAAGAGACACGCTAGAAAGCTCGCTCCAAGCATCTCACTTACAGCTGCAAGAGAAGAAGGCTTTGTTGGGTCAGTGGAAGCTTCCTGAGTTTATTTAACTCCGCTGTGTCAATCTATGTGCCACTGAGCACACCCACTGTCCGTCCTGCAAACAGAAACGTGGCTCTGGGAGCTTCTCTGCAGATGTTTCAGGAGGACAGGCAGATGTCAGCCACATGATGCCTTCAGCTGCTGATTTACACAAAGCCTCCAGTATCTGGGCTGATCTAGGGTCAGGTCAGCATGGCTGAATCTGTGTAGGGCAACATTTATTCCTATGGGAACCTCTGTGGTCTCGTATCAAGCGGCTGATCAATAGTCTTCTTTAATACAGCATGATGTTAATTTAGTAATATATGGTTGATTTTAGGGTAAATTAGACAGTAGGGTATGCTTTAGGGCGGGGCTACCTTGTGATTGACAGGTCACTAACACAGTGTTATCCAGTTGCTGTTCTTGTTTCCAACATAGACGTTTTAAAGTGTGTCTTACTACATGAAAGTTGATTTAAAATGTCTAAATAATGTCTTTTCAGCGTTCGTTTGTACTTGGCTCCAGCCTCCTTTTCATGCCTGGTTGCAAATTATCCAAACGGCGAGGGCCAAAACACCAAGATGGCGACAGGAAAGAAAAAAATCCAAGATGGAGTTGGCCACAAAACAAGATGAAGTAGGCTAATACCAAGATGAAGTCAGCATAAACAAATAAAGATAGCCAAGGCTAAATATCAAAGAGAAACCCAAAACCAAGATAGTATATATAACAAGATTGTATAATTAAAAATAATCTAGTTCAACACATTTGAACTTGAGTAATACCCTAACAACTTTTAAGGACTGCTTCTGTCTTCAGTAATGTGCATATTCCATAACACTATGTTTGACCTGAAGATCACCACCGCAGCTCTTTCTCAACAAGAACGTTGGAGCTATTTCCGAGGCTGCTGTGGCTTTCGGTCCCATTTCTGTCGCACAAGGTCGAGACTTCTGTTTCCTCCTGTCTGATCTCTGAGTGCTGAGTGTCCATGCAGAGGCAGAGGAAGGACGTACTAAATGCTCACGCTGGCATTGTGACAGTCGCACGTACACCCTGATAGTTGCTGATCAGCACATTGTCTGCAGAGAACACGCTGTCTCCACTTCATCAAACCGTTGATGTCAGTCTCTGTGAGGATACAAAGTCAAATACTATTGATGCCACAATGGGAAGCAATTATCTGTTCGCTGAGGACGTCTTTCAAGCTGCACATGCAGTCCACAAGGATAGAGAAGGAGACAGATTATTGTACATTTCTGTCAGTTTAGAAACAATGGGTCCTTGGTTTCGGACAGATGTAAACAAAAGCCGCCACTCTCTTCCATCTGCCAATCATTGACTTGCTATACTTCACCCCCAAAATGACTTGATTTAGTCAATAGCTCACTTTCTGTACGTACTATTCTCATCAACTTGAAGTCAGAAAGGCCTTCAAGAAATGTCTATAAGTTTTGCACAACGACTATTTGACTATAGAGACGACCTGAGTAGAATTTGATGGTAAAACGTTCCTGTGATCTCGCAAAACACGACAAGAATGAACACGCTAATTATGACGATCCCACGCAAATATCTATTAGGATACAGTTATGATATGAGTCCATTTTGGACAGACATGACTGCATCTATGGATTATTACATTTTAGTGGCTCAAACAAACCAAGTTCATCTCCGTCTATCCTGTTGAACACACTTGTTTAGTCCCAAAATAAATACAAACAGGACATAGATACTTTACTGTATGGCCCATACACTTAAAATCCTTCAAGGGTGCTTCTAACAAACTGGAACAGTCTGTTCCACAAACAACGTGATTTACAAATTCACTGAATGTCAACCAAAAAATCATTTAGTAACACAGGCCACAGTTAACTCGATATAATCTGCTTGCATTCAAATACGTGTTTAAGTGTGCCAGGCTAACAAAGAATCCTCAAATTAGAAGATGAAATGAGCAGCCAATCCAGGAGTAAACCTCTCTTGTGATATTTAATTATCTCGTGTTTTGCACTCCTCACAAACCGTCTGGCGGATCCCAAACTCGCACCATAAAAGCAGCGATGACAGGCGTTTAGAAAACCTGCAGAACCAGATTTACATGATAAAGAAACAATCCAGACAGACGGAAAATCATTACAGTCATGGTCGTGATTTAGGGATGAAAAGTTTTTGAAAAACTCGTAGGGGGCAGGAGAAGGTGCAGAAGGGAGGAAAAGTGGAGGATCAGTGGGCTGTAATCCCCCATAATCCCCCTCCCCCCCCCATGGGGCGCCAGCGACCAGACTATGCTTCTGTCTGCGGTTTGTTGTGAGATTTCAGAGGGCTCTCGCTGGGCGGCGGGGGCACGTGCCTCGGGGGAAATGTGACTTTGGGTGAAGGACAAACGAGGACAAGGACAAACTTAAGAGCTGACCCTGAGCAACAGAAGGCCAGAGAAGAAAACAGCAACTGTGGTTTATACAGAAAAACAAATTCAGAACTCTTTTTCAGAAGGAATGCATCCCTTGATTTGTTGACTCAAAGAGAAATGCGTGTAATGACTTACATCACGGAGCGTAGTACGGTGGGATGAGCAGGAATGTCCACACATGTGTCCACAGTTCTCCCGTTAGCATCACATGCTCCATCAGACCCCCCTCTTTCTGCTCCCATGTGTGGCAGCAGCTGACTTGAGTTGAGAGTTGATTGAGAGCATGTGTGTAGCAGAAACTCCACAGGCGATCTGTTTCTGTGAAAGACTCAAACATTACCGCATTTAATGCATTAATTCATGTGAGTGAGATCAAAGGAACAGAACATCAGATTAATGTCAGACACAAAACTATGTCTGACCCCACTATTCCCACATGGCCCAGTTAAAAGGAGGACATGGCAGAACAGCCTCATATTTACAGTTTGGGGGAATTCTCTGATCAACGTCAAAATCATCTAGTTAACATCTCCTAGTTTAAGCCACAGCTATGTCCCTTTTTACTGTTTGATAAGTGCAAAATAACTTGTTTTTAAGGATGTTTCAGTTAGTATTTAAAACACCCATAGACTCAGCTTCTGACTCACTCTTGCATGTGAGGCTATAAGGCATATAAAAGGAATATTCAGTCTGATTATCAGGCTTACAAATGTACAATTAGGAAGGTTATCATAAATTGTAATTTGGGGATTTCCCATCTAACTGCTCTAACTACAGACTGTAATATTTAGAGGATGCAACCAGCTCTAAACACAGCGGCTATGTTAAAAGAAAGCCTGAAATGGTTGCCTATTTGCTATCAAGCACTGTATTTACTTCAAGGTGATATCACCTGCTGTGGGGTCGGATGCTTCAAATCTGCTGTTATCCGTAGTATATTTAGGATTTCACGGCGATGAGAGCGCTGTTAACAGGTTTTTGTGTTTGTTTGTGTTCAAACATGAACAGGTTTTCCATGTCCAGACATGGGACAGGCTTATCCCCTTGTACTGTAACATCTCCGGTGGGGGGGAGGGTCTCAGGGCACAGGAGATGGGGACACTCAGGGTTTATTGCAGCACAGAGGGGGCCCAGTTCTGGGGTGTAAAGAGGATTTTGGGGGTCGATGTTGGGCTAGATAGAAAAAATAGGCCAGAACTACAGTTTGTATGCATAATATTTTATCAGTTAATGTGTTAAAGACAGCCTACAGCTGGCCTGAAGACTTCCTCGATGAATCACGGCATTGAATGTAAATAACCAGCGTCTATTTTTGTGCTTTCCAACATCAGCAGCGGCAAAAATAGACGGGGTTAATCCACGCGTGATCCCTCGGCCTCCGAGAACATCCTGTCTCCGCGGCGGCGAGCTTGAAGAAAACACGTTTTGTCAATGAAACAGGATTTGCGAAAGTGCCATCTGGACATGGGCTCCGTCTCCACAACAAGTCTGATCCACGGAGGTCGAGGGGTGAGGCTGACCCCAGGGAGGAGGGAGGAGCACAGGGAGGGCAGGTGGAGTCCCTGGGAATAGATATACATTCAATCAAAGAGCTCATTTAATTAGATTCTCTACCAGGACACCAAACTCTGTCCTTTGTGTGAAATGTGCATACGGACTTCAATCAGTACATGTTACATTTGCAGATCTGTTATTAGAATCTTTGCTCAAAGAGGCAATGGTTGTTGGAATACATCTTCACACCCTATTGTATAGTGTTATTGGAAAAGGTCATTTTAAAATACATTAAAACTGGTTTAAATGTTATTATTAAGGCTTTGAAAGATAGCTAGAACTCCAGATGTTATCTACTGGAGGAAGACAATACAATAAATGCCATTTTGTATTTATAGAAGTCCTTTTTGTTCCTATTTGTACATTAAATTAAACAAATAAATACTGCCTGTCCTTTTTGTTATATTTATTTATTTCCCTTTTATTACATATTAAGTGGATGGTTACAATGCTCATTATTTTTAAATGTAATTTCGTATTTATAGTCTACCCTTATTAAATAAAGATGTGGTTTCTTGCTTGGCTGTGTTGATTTGACTGAATCCTCCTGGTTGTATAATATGGGCTGGATTATATAGGAAAGCTAAAAGTAGATCAGTCACATTTATCAGCAGCGCGGCTTTAAGGCTTTACATTAGCATGGAGCTTCTGTACATGTTGGGAGGAGGTTATAAAAACATATACATTAATCCTATGTTTCATAAATACTGTAGACATCCCAGCAGAAAATAAGGAGAGACTTTGTATGTTAACAGGTTAGTATAAGAATGTAAATATAAATATATATTTGTAGCTATGCAAGTGATATTCCTAATGTGTTATTTTCCTGTAAATAGGAGCTATGCATGCAATATTGCAGATATTATCATCCCCATAGTTATATAAATAACATAGTAAAATAATAAATATAGTGTAATTAACTCTAAGCGTTACATTTTAAGGCGTGTTTAACGTCCTTTTAAACACAAAAACTACGTTCAGCTTCACTAAACTCCTCCACATGACGTCGTCCTATATTCCTGCGCGCTCTCGTCCGCGCGTCCTCGCTATCAGTTTGCAGGTCCACATGCGGTGGGCGGAGCCACCGTGAGATGGCTGTGAGGAGGCTCGGTCCCTTGTAACCAATGAGAGGACAGCATATAGGTAAATATTTACATGGCGATGCCCTTCTGCGCATGTCTACTGATGTATAGGGAGAAAGCAGCCAGCCACTGGTGCTTTACACTGGGAGGTATGGGAGGCAGTGAGGGTTATTATTGGCTAGAAAATGAGAAGAGGGAAAACCAGTTGTATTTATTTCATACATACATCTTACAAACTACATGTTTAAATTATTTAATTACTTAAATCTAGAGAGGTAGAAATGGCATAAAGGTATGGTTCCTTCCAGTAAACCTGCCAGATGAGATCGGTCAGACTAATGTACTCTGGGAAATCTAAACTGGAACGACCCCTGAACACAGAAAAACATCAACAGCTATGACCTTGAAATCCAAGATGAATTCTCCTTCCATCAACAGGGTAAAAACTGTATTGTAAATGACGTAATAAAGTTGCCTTCATTAAAAAGAATAACAATTAATTTCATAGTTAAATTCGATAAATACTTTATTTCATGTAATATTATAATCGTTAAATATGGCATGATTTAATACAGTTTGTTTTATATGTTAAACCAATATGCGTATGTGTTTGTTGTATTCTTGTGCCTAGGAACTAATGTTTGTTCATGTACTGGTACTGCGTGTTTTGTTGATACACTGGACAACTCAACGTGGTTTGACGTCTGTATTTGAAGCTCTGCTGAAGTCTGTGACAACGTTTTAATTTGACAAAGTTATACGGAAAAGGTACTTTAAGATGAATCTCCTTTCACGACAAGCGGCCCACGAGGTATTTGTTTTATGTTTTCATGTTTCCTATTTTCATTCATATGTGTAGCACAATATGCTAATATGTTTGGCTATGTATACGTGTATTCGTTTGTTGTAGTTCTCACGGCGTAACGGAAGAGGGGAGGCTACAAGATGAAAACTCCAAGAAATAAACGCCCGTTTTAAAGAACCGACCCGTGTCTGTCGTGAAGAGAGCTACATGTATTAATATACCGATTATAAGCACTTCTTTCTACAATAAGTCGAGCACTCTGTGTGCGATTTCTACCAGACATGTTTAGACTTAAATAGAACTGTGACGTCCCAGCTCCGATTTCCAAGTACAAATTGAATGCACCATAAAACCTCAAAACATTACATTTTTGAAAAAGAAAGCCAAACAGTTTTTACTTTTTTGTTTTCACTTTTTATTTGAGGTGCAACTGTCTAGTGCAATTGTAACGTCACATTTGTGATGGGCTGAGGAACATGCACAAATATCCACATACGGCTAGGCATTTTCCTTTTTTCTCATTGTGTTCAGCGCTCCAGTTGCACAACGAGCAACTCAAAACACTCGGCTGTACAAAAGACCAAAGAAAAAATAAACCATTGTCAAAAAAAAGAATACATTATCACTTGTCTCCAAAACGGTAAAGAGTCCAGATCATTAGAGCGATAAGCGTCGGCGAGGAGAGTTCACATACAGTACGAGGCTGTGTGTCACTGCAGAGACAGCATTTAGTGTCGAGGTAAAAGTCCTCGTGTTGCCACCCTGAGTAATGACATCACAGGTAGTTCAAAACCTGGCAAACCATAGATATATATATATTTACATATATATATACACATGTTGAATAAAACAACTAAGAAAAGCTTGTATATATGTATCTATGGTTAGAAACCAGGCACTTGGCAGAGTTTAATTGGAAATGTTTACAAAGTTCATCGTCTAGAAACTTATTTGCCTCTCCTTTAATTATTTTAATACATCACTAGGACATTGAGAACAACAAAAACATAAAACAGACAAAAACTTCCCCTAGAAAAACGTTTGATTCCCTGCTTAATGTTAACGCTCCACCCAAGAAAGGGGGAGAGTGCGCTGAGGGCGGGGGACGGGGCACGTGAAACAATGAGGCGCAGCTTATATATATATATTTATTTCATAATTCTTTAGACACCCCCCCACCCAACCCAGACGACATATCTTCAGATAAAGAAAAGTTCCCATTCCAGATGGTACGAATCTTTATAGTCCGTCTGAAAAAAGTGCATGGATTGCAGCACTGAGAAATGATGTGCTGATGGAGAGTGCTGGGTTGAGGGGGGGTGAAGACGATGGCACACTTTTCACGAGCGAGGGATTCGTGCTCCCTCCTGATTGGCCGAGCCCTGCGTTAGCTCCTTTCCTCCGCTAGAAAAACGGCGGTCACTTCCTGTCAGCTGTGCCATCACGGCGATGAAGACGATTGTCTGAATCCGGTCATAAAAAGCGGTCACCGGTGCGGCTCTTTCGGTTAAATTAAATGTGCAACAAAAGAAAGTTCGTCCCCCCCGGTGCGCGGCTGGAGACGGTGGCAAAGTCGGTGTCGATGCTAAAGTCGGTTCACAGTATGGCGAGGCTCCTTCCTCCTCCTACAGCTCCTCTTCCTCCCCTCATCTCTGATCCTTTAGGGGCTCTGCATTGGTTCACTGTTACGCGGATGTGCCGGAGCTCTGTGTGGGGGGGAGGGGCTGCAGCGGGGTCCCGCCCGGGAGGGGCACCAGGGGCTGCCCGGGGCCGGTGGGGGAGCCGGTCTGGACCTGAGCCTGGAACTGGGCCATCTGCTCGGGGCTGGCCAGGTTCTTCAGCAGGTTGTTCTCCTGCTCCAGCTGCGTGTTGCGCTCGATCAGCTCCTTGATCTGCTCCTTCAGCACCTCCACCTCCTCGCGCACTGCGTACATCAGGTGGCTCTTCACCAGGTCCTGAGGGCGGAGAGGGGAGAGGGGGGGGGGGGGGGGGGGGGGGGGGGGTTAGAGAGGATACATCACTTTCCCCTGTGAGGACACTTTGTTCAAACCAATGTTTCAGACTAGTCACACACAACACAAACAAAGTAACATGTCTGTACCTAATAGCATCTTTTCATTATATTAAGGTTTCTGAATAAAGCTTAAATGTCTGGTGTCACTTTACGACGTCAAAACCCTTTAAAAAATGTTTTTGTTATATTGGCAATATAAATGTAATGCATGGCGCTGTTCGTTAGTAAAGGTGTGTGCCCCCCTTTGTGTAAAGGAAGAACTGTTTGTTTTTTTACCTCAGTGAACATTTTGTTTTAAAAAAAAAAAGACTATACGCCAACTATTATGGATAAAGCAGAATATTTGGTGAGACAGAAACGGGTTGTCAATCTTGAGCAAATAAATGTTGACTTCTGAAATGAACACTGGAGTTATTGGACATTTTTGGATCACACAGAGTGCTATGCAGCTCTCACTGGAATATATCACTACAAATAAGATTATACTAATAATAATATTAGTGCAGCCTAATCTTTATCTGCACAAATATCAGCTTCAAACAGAATGAATACACACGCAGAAAAAAAGAAAGAAGCTGCGCAGCATTCAAATGATCCAATTATTCCCTACAGCACTAAGTCATGTATTTATTTGTATTTTTAAAGTCAAATCACAATAGAAATAAACTTTAATTAATTGAGGTTAGTCAGGGAAATACAAATATTTGGTTTCACGAATGAATATGTTTTTGTGCTGCATTGGACAATAAAGATCTTAACCAATTGCTTTGTCTTTCTTAAGCAGAGATGCCATATGTTTGCTTCTCTAGATGTTAGATGTAGGGCTTTGTCTCACACTTATTTGTGTTGGTTTTGGAATATTGTTCAGAAAGCAGTTTAAAAAGGAATCTCATCTGACTATTGGGAATTTTGACTGGCATTTTATTTATTTATATGTTATACTTTGAAGGCTAAATCAAATCCCTCAAATCAATGAATAGAGAAATAAACAGCAGATAAAAGGATATTAAAAAGGATGCAGCCCAATCACACATCCCATGATTCATTTGCACACTATAAACTTTATCTGGATGACTTCTTTTTATTAAATCTAATTTGGTACGCCTTTGTTTTTATTTAGACACGTAGTAACCACAATAGACTTCCTTCTAGCATAAAATAAATAATAAACTAATGACTCAGAGCGTGCTGATGGGGAGGAAATGTGTGTCACAGCGTCACAAGCAAAGGCTATTTCCATCGCTTCAGTTTTGCACAGCACATGCCAGCTGTGTGTGAAGGATGGCAGGAAAATATGCATGAATCCCTTCAGGAAGAAAAAATGTGTCTTTAAAAAAAAGAAGAAGCAAAACAGCTGTGTTATTCATTCCCACGATGCAGCTGGAGCAGTGTGCAGGAGGAGGATTTAACACTGTGAGCATCCCCTGCTCTGTGGGCCCGCCCCCCTCCTCCCTGCCCCGGTACGCAGCGAGGGAACAAAATGTTCTGCACCCGGGTGGGAGGAGCCAATCACGTCAGAGTTATTTATACTGAGCCGCGGGGAGGCTGCTGCTTGCCTAGCAACACGGTACGGAGGGGGGGAGAGGGTGAGGGTCTAATGTAGGTTTATGCATGGGAGAGGGGATGGCGTGTGAACCCTAGCCTTCCCAAATCGAGGTGCCTGCAAGCCGGAGGTCATCGCTCTAAACCCGTGACAGAGCAGGAAACCCCTGCCCCCTCGAATGTATAGACCAGCAGGTGCATATATGCGGGGAAATGTGCCTTTTTCACCAATGTGGCGCTGGATTTGTATTAAAATGCACACAAAAGCACCTGCATTCATTCATTCATTCATTCATTCATTCATTCTTATGCCAACCTGAGATTCGCTCTGTTGAATATCTTAAAGCGTTTAAACCCTTTCAAAACAAAAGCATGAAGGGGATTACGCTTACATAACGCTGCGTTAACACACATGTAAAAGCTATTTACCAACACTGAGGGTGATATAGGACAGGATTCTTACCATTGCTTGTTCAATCTTGTTGTCAATGGCCACCACACTTGCACCGGAAGAGCTAAAAGACAGAGAAAAGAAGAGGTTTATTATCACAGCATATGAGATGATGCATTAGGAATACTGCAGGGTGGATGGGATGAATCAATGGGGTTTCTTCACAGACGTGACTGGCATTTGGTTTTTTTAAGCTACGAAATCAGAAAGAAATAAAGACTTATGTAACATTATGATGCTGTCATGAGTAAATAAAACATCCACAGAAAATCTTCAACAAAGCAAATGGAGGTCGAGAAAGCAGGCATTGACTTTGATGGCGGAGAATCAATGAGGCGACATAACAAGCCATGAAGCCCCATTTAAATCCGAATAAAACAGTAATATAATGCGCAGAAAGGCTTGTGACGTTACCTATTGTCAACCCGGACAGATGCACCCTCCTTCCCCAGCACAGAGGATAGAAACGATATCGAGAAATTCCTCAGTTGGCAAACGCTAAGATCCATCGCCACTGTGTAACATTGGGCATTCATACTATCCAGCCCATTGAAACCCCCAAAGGCGATTCTTCGGCTGTACAAACTGGACACCCAGTGGTATAAAAGTAGAAAAAAAAGCGCATTATTGAGAGCAGGATGTCTGGTCTGCTCTCCGGGCGACCGCAGAGCTCGCAGCCGGGACGGGGAACACAAAAGACTGAGCGGTGGGTTGCAGCTCCGCGCTGCCTCTCCGGGTAATGAATGCAGGACAACAGCTCGAGCGGCGACGTGATTGGCGGAGGCGGGAGCTCATTAACATAATGTGTGCCGCAGCGGCGTCCCTGATTGGATGAGAGGTTCGCTCGTGGTAATAAATTATGCAACATCCCTCTACCTGCTGCTGTTCTCTATAAAAGCCCGCATCCACCCCACGGAATGGAAGAGGGGACTGCCTCGACTTATAACCGAACATTAAAACAGCCGGCATTTTGCTTTTAAACTTCCGTTTAGTGTTGAACTGCGATATAACTGCACTGTTTGTTTATGCTCAAATGTGGACTGCAGTTGATGGGGAAACTTTGTCTGATGCAATGTCTCCACCTATTGGTTATCACTCGTGCTTTGAAGGGTCACACACACCACAAGTTGACCCTCGCATACATTGAATCATTGTCATTTGAGACATAATCAATAGGCCACAATGTGTGTGTGTGTGTAGCATAGGCTGACCTCTGTCCAGTTGGGGGGTAAATAAAGGTGTTAGAGAAGTAACACAAAAGAATGGGAGATCCTTTGTCCTCTCCATCAGTTTGGATGTTTGAAATGGGAACACGCTGTTCTTCACAGTTTAACAGGACCGCCCCTCTGTTCTGTATTTGGCTCCATCACAAATTATTTACAAGTTCCCTTAAGGTTTTTTTTGTCATTTCTGTGATGTGTGATAGAGCTGAAACAGGGATTCAATCGACGGAACATTTGGATAATAAACGGCTCGTCAAAGTAATTTATCAAGAAAAAAGGCCAATGTTTTCTTGTGTCAGCCAGCCGGTTTAAGCACCAATTAAGCTTATGCTAATAACACAAAGGCAGCTTTTAAATGATTATTTTCAGATCATTATTTATCTTTAAGCGCTAAACAATAATGTGATGTGTTGGTGTGTATGTGCACACTGATGTCGTCACCATATATAGTTTAGATAAGCACACGGAGAAAAGGACGTACATTTAGAGTAAACTGTTGGATGTTCTGGACACGTACGAGCAATAAAGCAATAAAGATTAAAGATCTTGACTGTACGTTAGGAGCTCCTTTAAGCACCTTGGCTGTTCTAGCCGGCTCTGGCTGGAACATTTGTTGAATCAATTTCAGTAAGTGGAAGTGTGTCAACTTTGTAGTTTGGACATCAGAAACTGGAGGAGTACCCCGCTCATGTATTTAAAGGCTTGATGGTCAAGGGAACTCTGATGGGTTTGAGTGAAACAAATGCTTGGAAGTACTTTTGTCAAGATAATAAACTTGAGAAATTGGGAGTTGGGTATAGATTTAATGTTTTGGTTTATTGTGTTTTGGAGACTGAAGTCTATGAGTGGCGTGATAACTGAGCAAAGGGAAGCAATAATGTGCTGAGTGGATCTATTGAGGAACTGGAACATGATGTTATCTCTGGCAGTTGAGATTGGAGGGAAAAGTTTAAGTAATAAAAAAAATAAAAATGGGCGGACAAGTTAAAGTCTTTGTCTGGACCTCAATGCAGTGAGTGAACATCAGACTGCCACGCATTCACACTCACACACAGTCATGCAAATCAACTTGCATGTGCAGAAGCAAGTACATTGTGTCCTCAAAACACACAGCTTGCTTTAGGGCTGCTGAGCAGAGTATGTGATGAGCTTTTTATTTTTCATTACATTTACTGCAACCCTGAAGTAGGATAGACATTATCCGGATGTCCCATTGATCCCACGTGTGCTCATTGTCTGTAGGATCCTGCCACCATTTTGAGCGTTGTTTCTGTTCTCAGGAATTAACGTGACGCATGTTGAAAAGCAAGTATATCTTCGGCCAATGTCAAAAATGTGAAGAATTGCAATGGACTTGGTTGTTAATGAGCTAAAATATGAACCATCTATGAGACTGCGGCATCATGTCCGACCCCCTGAAAGCCACCCATGCGCCACCTATCGCCTAAACCAAACTGAGTATTTCCAGTACTCGAGAATGCATCTGCCATTGTTAATATCCTGTTGTGTGCTACATGTGGGAAATGTTAACTTCTGACAATGTTCCGCACTGATTCTGGACATTGTCCGGAGTCCGGAAAGCTTCATTAGATATGAAAACAACAGGTGTGAACTTTCCTGGATAAATGCTTGGATAACTGCGAGCCTTACTCTAAATGACGGCAAACATTCAATCAACTGAACGCAACCACAACGATCAGAAAACAACACAAAGCCCCTCCTTTAATCCCCAGGCAGCTGCAGTGGCGCTGACCCCCGCTCATCACCGCCGACCCCTAACAACGTAACAGCACTACAGCCATGGTTACCTCTTCAGATGCTTCTCCAGCTCCCAGAAGAGCAGCTTCAGGGCGGCGGCGTCCATGCCCTGCGCTCCTCCTGCCCCGGCCAGCCCCTTCTCTCTCATTGATGCTCTCAGGCTAAACCACACTGTCCCGACCAAAGCCCAGGGCCCTCATTACGGCCCCACCGAAAACACCCTAAAACAAAACACCACCACCACCGTCCTCCTGACCTGCGCCCTTTGCCCCAGACCCCTCAGATTCACACAGGGGAGCCTGACCAACAATGGAAGACGGGGATGGGAGAGTGTGTGCGTACAACGGGAGTGAAAGCCCTGCTGATCGCGAAGCCTAGAGCACAGATAGACTCTCAGACCATTGGGTGCATGGCGAGGGGAGATAGGAGGGCGGGTTGTGATGTCACTGCTTAAGGAGACTTGTCACCTCCCCTTCTGTTGTTACATAAACACTCGGAAGAGATTAGGGTGATCCGTCCAATAGGATGAGCTACTTTTGACCACACACCCACTTAGTACACCCAGATCCAACCTACAAGCCCCTCCCTTCGGTCAGCAACCTCTCGCGTGTTTACTTTTTGTTGACTGCAACATCTCCTCAGTTATGTTGCTGGAACAGAAGTAGTACCCTTTTTTAAAAAAATGTTTTTAATATAATTCTATCCATCAAAACACAGTATTTTCCTTAAATCTCCTTACAAGACAAAAACCATCTATCTTCGGCATCCCACACACTGTACCCCTCCTTAAGATATCTCAATGTGTACGTTGTACCATGCACGCATTCAGCCGCCTCGTCACTCCTCATCAGTGGATGCACACTGGACGCTCACTCTCTCTCTCAGCATGGGTCTCCACTGGAGCATGGCTCACGTGTACCTCCATGTTTGGCTGTCTCCCATGCATTGCAGTCTGAACAAAGACCATCACAACAAAGTGCCTTGAGAGATGAGATGAGAAAAAGAGCAGAAAAACTCATAAAGTAAAATGATATTTCGTCGAGTAGAGGACACAAGAGAACAAAGGGATGGGCGACCCTGAGCATAGATGGTGCACAGTTATGGGGAACACAAAATGGCGGCGAGGGGCGTGCGGAGCGAGTTTGTTGGTGGGATTGAGCTCGATGCATGCAGTGAAATTATTAACCTCGTTAGGTGGGGGTCAAAACATCTTTTGTTCACTCTACTGTATGTGTCGCTAATCCCACAAACAGTCGAGGGTCATAAAACACGAGCATTGAGAGATTTTAAGAAGATAATTAAAAAGTGATAGAAACTGATCAAATGTCTCAAAACTTGTTTTCTGGTGACGTTCAACGCTTTTAAAACTACCATTATTAATTAGTGTCAATTACTAAGTTTGTTTATACATTGGAAACAAAGCTCATTAGATGCTGCTAATCCGTACATCGTGTACTCGCTATCTGTACATCGTGTACTTGCAGCTTTGGGGTCAGTGTACGCATGCCCACTTGGAACAAAAGGCTCGGAGTTCTTCGGAGGCGAACACTCACTGATGTGGAGACCGTTTCAGACTTTAAGCCAATCGCTGATATGGTGCAGCACCTTCGGCTCAGCCAATAGCGAGAGACCTTGACGTCAACAGACATCACAGATGGGTTTTCATTCATTCACGTCCATCTAATGCTTGCATGTCTGACATGTGTCAAGGCTTGACCCATATATTACCTAACCACTACGGTAAAGCTTACTGTATGCTACACGTGGGAGACGGATCAGGAGGAGTAGTGATAGCGTAAGACTAAGTCACTTCGATGCCAAATTAAAATGGTACTCTTCGGCCAGGCTGCTGTGTTGATGTTCTGCCAAGCTATTAGACTTTATTAGTTAGGTACACTTTGCCAAACTGCAGATGAAACCATTAACAGGCTTCCTTAGGCCTTTTGCAGAACAGCATCTTCACCCATCACAAAATGCTTTCTAATAAGACCCATTGACTGTGGACTTGAAACTGCACAATTATTGTAGAAAATTAAACGAATTCAATGCTTAAGACTGTATCCAGAGGATGTCTAAAAGTAGA